GTGCCACGTACTGTACTATACGTACTGTACTGTACGTACTGTACGTACTGTACGCTAAAATTTTGACAGTCATTTTAATAAGTTCTGAAGTTTAGGCCACGAGTTCCTAAATATTCCGAAACGATTACGGAATATTCGAAACTATGATATAAAAAAAATCCTAATATACGTACTGTACGTACTGTACGCTAAAAAAATCTGAGTATCATATAAATGGCACATCACTAGTCATAGTATATACGTATGTACTGTACTGTATCGATAGTTCGATCCAGTACTAAAGTCTCTAATCCTTGTTAATTACTATAAGCGGTGTATCATTTTTTCGAAATTTTATATTAAATTTTCTTTAGTATATAGTATATTCGTACTGTTTATATAATACAGTACATATGTATATTCGGATATCCATCGGATCATCCAAGCACTACGTACAATTGAAACAATTTCCAAAAATAGATGTGTATAAGTATTTTAAATTTAATATTTGACAAGAAATTTGATAAAAACATAGTCCCATTAGTGCAAGTAATAATTTTCGTGGTACCTATACGTAAGTTCATGTGGAATAGGATATATGAGTTACCATCAATGAAATCTAAAAAATTCACTATTGACGGTAGTCCATATAAAAGTCAAACGAAATAGTTAAGTCGAAAAAATTATTCTTTAAAAAAAAAAAAAAACTTATTTTCTCGAAATAATTAACGCATGTATCCAAATTTTATTGAGAAATTACTGATATGCAAGCAAATTCTCTTAATTTGTTGTTTTGAATGATTAACCTATTAATCTCTTTAATAACTTTGCAATTCATTTTTTTTTAGTTAGTTAATATGTCACTATTCTTAACCCCCAGTGGTAATATAAAGAATGAGAAGTCTGCCTATATCAACATGGTCTACAATTATGACTGGTCTTCGACTTTACTTGGTCCTATGGACTCATGGGAACCTACACTTAAAATTGCTACGGTAATTTACAATTATATAGTATTGCTGTATTAGCAAAAAAAAAAAAAGGATTTGCAATAATTTATAAAAATCACGTTTGTTAAATGTTAGAATTTGTGCCTCCAATCTGCATTTCCATCTTGTATATACCTCCATCCCTCTAGCTGGATCTCACTATATAATGAAGGTAAACAATTTTAAAATTTAATTAATTGATCTATTTAATTAGTTTTAAATATTTTCTATTCTCTTATATATAGCGTGGATACCAATTGTAAAAGCAAGACATCCAGGTTAGTTATATAATTTAGTGTCATATGTTTATAAATTTGCCAATTTAACATCATTTATAAAATATTAAATAGCAATAGGTAAAACATTCAAAGAGGTTTGGCCTGAAGCATATGATATCGTTATTCCTCAATTTGAAAAGTAAGTCATGTAACGTTAAATAATTTTGATTCGAAAGTATCTAAACTTCTCTTGAATATACAACTAATAGTGTAAGAATAACTGGCAAAGGCATAATAAAGACAGATACATACTATGAACTACAACGTGATGGATATATAGAAGAGACCTACTTTTATTATACATTTAGTCCAATTTTCAAATCAGATGGCACAGTAAATGCTATATTTGCAGTTGCACAAGATACTACACATGAAGTTTTAAATGCTCGAAGATTAAAAATACTTAATGAACTTGGTCGTCAGATTCCTAGTTAGTACTCAAATTATAATATGTCATTATTATATTTGTGAAATTTTATTTATTAATTTTCTATTTTGTCTTAATATTTCTTTTATTTTTTTTTTGAAGAAATTGAGTCCTTAGAAAGTGCCTGTTGTATAATGACAAAAACATTAAGTAATAATGCTGATATTCCTTATGCATTTATTTACTTTGTCGATCATAAGGCAAATGCAGGTTCCGAATCTCTGGTCGCCCGTCTGGTCGCCACGACATTTGAAGATCATCATATTCCAGATTATTTACCCGATACTCCTGAAATAATTTATTTAGCTAAAGATGATAATAAGAGTTATAATACATATATAGAGCTAAAACGTGTAGCTGCAACTTATTCGTTCTTAAAATGTGATTCTTGGCCAATAAAACTTGTAATAAAGGAAGGAAAACATGTAAAAGTTCTTTTAAAAGATGATTCTCAGGCTGTACTCTTACCAACAAAAATTTCTCTTTTCGGAGGGCGAGTTCTATCGATTGTATTGATTTGTGGTGTTAATCGACTTCGCTCACTTGATGAGCAGTATATGGAATTTTTGCAAGTATGAAAATGTTAATATGAATTTTTTTTTTTTCATTATATTCATTTTTTATTAAAAAGTTACTTTAATATATTATAATTATTAGCTAGTCACTAATCAAATGAATACATATTTGGAACATGGAAATACCGTAGAAGAGGAAAAAAAGCGATCTAAAATATTAGCTGAATTGAATTATCAAAAAATCATATTTTTTCAAGGAATTAGCCATGAACTTAAAAGTATAAATTTATAATAACATGCTCTTTTAGGAAATGTATTTGCATAAAACAGACTTACCATTACTTTTTTTTTTTATTATAGCACCATTAACTTTAATGCTTTCACCACTTAACGACGTAATTAATGTATGCCCACAAGATGCACCAATAATGCCGTTTCTTAAAATTATACAGCGTAACACTCATCGATTGCTTAAGCTTATTAACGTTTTATTACAAGTAAGTTATACATATGGAGGGTGTCAATAGAAACCAAAAAAAAATAGGTTTGTAATAAAATTTAAATTTGAATAAGTTGTTAAGTTATTTAAGCTTAAAGTTTAGAATAAATTATATTATAAAACTATTGCTTGGTTTCTATTGACATTCTCCTTTATATCAATCTAATAATAAAATCCAATAATTACAGTTTTCGGAATTATTATATTAAATACAATTTACTTTCTATACAGTTTTCAAATATAGAAGCTGGACAATTGAAAGCACATTATCGTGAAACAAACATTGCTGAGTTTACTTTAGAATTGACTTCAGACTTTAAAAATATGGCCCAAAAATTAGGCTTGGGTTATAATATTGATATTCCACATCCGGACGAATTTAATCAAGCAGTGGGAGATAAAATTTATTTGGATCATGATATATATGAAACAATTGTTTATAATCTTTGTAAGCGTTTTCTAGAAATATTTAATTTTTAAAAATATCTGTTAAACTTTTTTACAAGATCTTGTATACTAAGATAATTTGCTTATTAAAGGTTCTAATGCATTAAAGCATACTTGGAATGGATGCATTACCATTCGATTATATATTGACTATAAAGATACTAAAAGAATGATAATTCTTGAAGTTTCAGATACAGGTTAATATATTCTTTAAACAAATTTAATTGCACAACTTCAAAGGATTAAATATTTAATATTGAATCTATCGGAATAAATATTTTCGTGTAACTTAGGTATCGGGATTCCAGAAAACGCCCTTCCAAAAATATTTGAGCGATTTTATCGTGTAAAATCCCAAGGTTCACGTAGTCATGAAGGTACTGGAATAGGACTTGCTCTTGTTAAAGAACTTATTACACGACATGGTGGTGATATCACTGTAACTTCAAAAGTAAATCAAGGAACAACTTTTAAATGTTGGTTTCCAATTGGATGCGAGCACTTACCAATAAACCAAATAGATTTTAATAACCTCGAGAATCCAATAAAACATGATCAGGAATTATACATTGATCGACAACTTTATTTAGAAGAAAGTTCTCAATGGATAAAAAATAGTACATCTGAAGTTATATATGATACAATTAATAAACTGTCAATCGATGATAAAAGGACGTATAATGATAATAAAATGTTGGTGGATTATGATCTTGCTAGTGAAAAATATCAAGTCTTACTTGTTGATGATAATAATGATATGCGGTAATTCGTATATGTGTTTGTTTATTCGATCAAAATTATAGATTTTATAATAGTTTCTTATATTAGTAATGTTTTTATAGAATTTATCTGGCGGATCTCTTAAAAGAATTTGACGTACTTTGTGCTTGTGACGGCCAAGAAGCTATACGAATATTAAAAAATCTTAACAAATTACCTGATTTAATTCTTAGCGGCAAGTAATTATATAATCACAATATTTCGGTCATTACATAAAATAATTATTAAATCTTATAATTCTTATTATAATAGATATCATGATGCCAAATATGAATGGTTATGAGTTATTAGACGCGATAAGATCTAATGTAAAAACTCAATTAATTCCCGTAATATTATTATCAGCAAAAGCTGGTGAAGATTCTAAAATCCGAGGTAATTTAAAATATTAAATTATTAATGTATTATTAATTTTCTTAATAGGTTTTTTTTTTTTTATGTATATATTTTTAGGTCTGGATAAAGGAGCAGATGACTATTTAACAAAACCATTTTCTTCTCGAGAACTTATTACTCGAATTCGCAATAATATTGAACTTTCAATTACTCGACGTAAAATATTATTTCAACAATATGAACAAGAAAAAACAAATCAATTACTTCTTTCAATATCGAACAAAATTATCTCCAAATTAGACTTAAATGAAACGTTACAAAATATTATTAAAGAAATTCATCATATATTACCATGTGAAAGAATATTTATCATTTCAAATGAACCATCTGAATCTAACGATAAGAACAATAAAATATTTGCAACTTTCGAAGACTCAGAAAGTATAACACCGATGATTAATCCATTCAAGGAAATTAGTGTTAATAATAACAACAAATCTCAAACATTCACTATGTTACAAGAAAATTCAAATAAAAATTTGGGAATAGATATTTCTTTGGATGTATATTGTGATGATATTCGTAAAAATGCATCCGTATTAGCCGTAGAAATAAGGTTGGATGACTTGTGTGGATGGATAAAGGCATATAGATCACCAAATTCTATTTGGCTTGATTCTGAAATAGAGTTATTACAACAAATATCGAATCAAATTAGTTTAGCTATTTCTTACACAAATTTGTTAGAAAAGAATTCTGAATATGAAATACAAATAAAAGCTGTTGAAATTGCAAATTTTGCTAAAAGTCAAATATTAGCAAATACTTCTCATGGTATATATTATTGCAATTGTATTAAATACTAATCTTTTTTTTTTTTATATCTCACTAATTAATTTCATTATTATCTTAGAATTACGAACTCCACTGGGAGTAATAGTGGGTTTTCTTTCTTGCTTTGAAGATACTACCTTAACATCTGATCAAAAGGACATGATTAATATCATGGCACACTCTTCTGATGTAGTGTTATCCATAGTAAATGATCTTCTAGATGCTGCAAAATTAGAAGCACAAAAAGTCACTCTAATGAATAGAACATTTGATTTATCAGAATTATTAGAGAGTACAATTGAGAAATTTGAAAAAAAAGCCGGGGAGAAAAATCTTGAATTAATTGTAAATTGTGATGTCGATATGCTACCAAGATATATTAAGAGTGATCCTAAAAGGTGATTAAAAACTAATGTATCTTTAGTTAAACGTGTAAATATAAGAATTTATTACTTACTTTATTAAATAGGTTCAAACAAGTTTTATCCAATCTATTATCAAACTCGTAATTATTTTTACATATTGTATATTTATTTTTTATATCCTATTATCGTATTTGCATAATAATTTATACTTAAATTTTTAGAGTTAATTTTACCAATAAAGGTATAATAGTACTTACAATTTCAATGCAATCACAAGATGTCATGGATAAAAACGAAATGAATTCAACTTACGGTCAAATGTTTAAAAAAGAAAATTTATTGATTGAATTATATGATACTGGTATTGGGTAAATTACCTGAAACTATTTAAAATTATATATTATTTTTTATATTATATATGTTATCTAATAATTTATATAATATTATTAGCATGAAACCAAAATTTATACAAGATGCATGGAATAGCTTCTCACAAGGTGATATGTCAATAACCAGGGAGCACACCGGTACAGGACTCGGTCTCTCGATTTGTAAAAATCTAGTAGAAATTAATGGAGGAGAAATTAAAGTAGAAAGTCAATTGGGAAAAGGAAGTAAATTTTGGTTTATATGGAATATCGAGTCATTATCAATAACTCGATCGTTATTAGAGACACAATTTGATGATCAGATAAGTTATAATATAAGACAAAAACGAATTTTAATAATTCACCCAATTAAAGAAGTTAGAAATGCAATGCTGAAATATCTTAAAAGGATCGAAAAGGTTGATGCATTTGATACCTTTGATAAAGGTATTAATGCAATTAAAATTTACAAACCATTGAATAATCGATTTGTCTACGATATTGTATTTATTAGACTTTATGAAAATAATGAAGCCTTGAATGCAGCATTAGAGTTAAAGAGATTAAATAATAATATAGTGATAATCTTTATAGTATTTCCTAATAATGAAGAAAATGAGTTAGCAAAAAAATTAATTGAAAAAGTTGGTGGAACAACTTTAATTCTTTATACTCCAATTACGTTGAAAAAATTGGTTAATCTATTTATGCATATAGAAAAAAAATGATGCTAATAACAAGAATCTGAACATATGTACTATCATAAAGTATATGTCTTTTTTAATCAATAATATGTATTTTTATTTTTTTAAACCTTTCTATTAAAATATGTTCGTTTATGTTTTATTTTTTATATTTTATAAGTAAATAATTATTTATTATAGTTATATTAGATACAATTTCTTATATCATTAATTACCTTTTATAAATATATCTAATATATTGTTAAATCTAGTAGATAGCAAATTTCTAGCTGTTGTTTAAATATTAATGAAATTTCTATATACCAATACAGTATATTATTATAATGTTATGTTTTTCAAAAATGGTTACTTATTTGCTAAAGTGTTGTTTATTGGAATAATTGAGCATTAGGATTGTTTGCGCAAAAATTTCTTAATGGCATGCCATTAATATTTCTTGGCACATGGAATGCACCATTTATATAATTTTTTAATGAATTTTAACTCTTTATTCATTAAAAGATGTTATCTTTCACTCTGTTATTGCCCACCTAATAGCAAAGGCTAGCTCTATCTTATAATAGTTTACCCTAATGGCGTGCACTAACGATTTTCACCTAGACCGATACTTAGGTATACATGTGTGCCTAAATTGCTCATCTTAATAAAAAAGTAATTACGGCATTTAGGCAGCCGAAAATAGTCTTATATAGTGCCGAAATTAATTTTCATATATGCCGAAATTATTGCCGAAATTTTTTGAACTCTTTTCATCAAAATACATCATATAGTATAGTTATTTCTGAGGGTTTCATATAAAAAATTTAGTAATGCCGAAATGTTTGCCGAAAATACTTTTTTTCAAAAATAATTTAGGCACACATCTATATACTTAGGGTAGTGTTACGAAAATTACATTCTAACATTTCACGAAAGTTTTAGTAAATTGACTTCATGTAATTTTCCTCGTGTGTGCCAGAATTATAGAAGTTTAGCCTCCATTATTGCATCGAATATCATCTTGTGAATATTGATTTACCGAAACTTACGTAAAATTACGGCAATTTCACAACCCTGCCGATACTAAGCGGCTGACTAATAGTTTATATTGGATTTTCCATATGCTAGCGATACTAATTCTTAATGCCGGCCACTAATTCTTAAACTGCCTAACTAATTCTTTATGCCGGGCCTAACTAATCCTTAATGCCGGCCTAACTAATTCTTAATGCTGGACTAATTAATGCTTGTTAACTTACATGTAACTTACACTGTAATTTACTATAGCTTACATGACGCCAATGCATTATGTAAATCAAATCCAAGTAATGTCTATATGATAAATTTATATTATCGGATTTTTTTGTGGCTATTTCACAAATCCCCCCCCCTTTTTTTTTTATCGTTATACAAAAAAAGTAACCGTAAATAAAAGTGTACGAATTTTTTTTAGTACGTACTAGTTTTGCTTTATCGTTATTACGATATATAGGTGTTTGAACAGTTACTTTTAACAAAAACCGAATTCGGTTTTTGTTAAAAAAAAATTAAAGCGAACAAATTATACTAGAATTTATTGTATCTTTTAATTATACTCCACAAATAAAAAATATTAAACCAAGTTATTTGAAAAATACATACCTTGTGAAAAACTAGAGACAACATATTTAATAATTTAATATGATAGAAAAAGTTTACCTGATTATTTATCTACTGGTTACATTAGTTCCGGTAGCTACTCAATGATTATCAAGATGAAATTAAAATAAATTTATTATCATTATTAAAATTGTAATATGAAGAATATTCAATGATTTATATAATAAATATAAACTATTAAAAGGAAAATGTGAATTGATATTGCAAAGTATATTAATAAAGAATTGTCAAATTTTAGAAATGATGAATGAAAGAGTAAGGATAAAATAATCTTGGATTCTACTATGAAAAAGGCATAGGAACTACAATGGATGGAAAAAAATGCATTTGAGTGGTATTTGAAATCTGCTAAAGAATCTAATAATATGAAATATATGTAAGTTAATTTTTTTATTTTGAAGGTTTTAGAAACTTTTGAAGTATTTCAGCTGCAGATTCTTTTCTATTAATTGATTCATTCTCAACAATAGTTCTTTTCTGTTTATTTTTTAAATGAATTTCTAATAGTTTTTTTTGAGTAAGTGAAGTTTCAAAGGGTTTAGGTTCTGAAAGTTGTATTCTTGACTTTTGTAAGTCAATTGACATATTTGGATATGTTTTGAGATCATATTTGTTGAACATACCCTTGAGATGTTGTTGATAAATGATTATAGGCCAAATCTTATACTTAATAAAATCATATATTAATAGATAATTAGATAATTCAGTATAGGTAGATTGTAAAAAGGCTAAAAATTGTGCTTGAAAATCAATATCTTTTAATGCTTCAAATAATCTAAAAGATTCATATTTTTTATTTTTTATATCACTCACTAATTTATTTATATACTTTTTTTGGTATTTCTATAAAATTTTCTGAAATATAAATATTTAATATAACCTTAATAATTGTGATTGCAAAATTAGAGCTATGAATTTCTCCAAGTTAGCATATAGAAAGAGGTAAATGTATTTACTGATCCATCCACTGTTTAAATATATCTAATGCTTTTACTAATTTATGTTCAATTCTATTTATTAAATCATTAAACTTATCTGTAGATAAAGTTTCATAAGCTAATAATATTTCTTCTACAAAGACTTTGTCAGGATATTCAGCTACTATTTGCAATTTATTAATCTATTGTTCAACTATATCTAGCATTTTACTTGCTCAAAATCTATTTGGAAGATTTGTAGTATTTGTATTCTTACTAATTAAAAAAAAACATAACTTTTTTATAGAACTATTTACAAAACTAGCTATTATTTGAATTTCAATATTTAACTTATCATTTTGTAAAAAACTATAGAATGTTTTTTATTTTTTTAAATAACTTTCAGGAATTTTGTTTGCTTTTTCTAGTTGGCTAATAAACCAACTAGAAAATTATAAATGAATATCTTTTCAATCTAAATATTGTTTTGTTGTAGTTAATTGATATAACTAATAAGAAGTTGAGATAGGTTTTTAGAATTTTTAAGATCATAATTAAGTAGTGCTTTATATAATTTATTAATTTTTTCTGATTTTATATTTAATAGATTGTCCTTATCAAATTCATTATATCTGTAATAAAGATAATAAGCTAAGTTAAGAATATTAAACAGATATAGTTTTAAACAAATTTCTAAAAGTAGATTAATTTTTTCAAATATTATATTATTATTTTTTTTTTTTTTTTTTTTTTTTTTTACTTTATACAAATGCCATCAGCTGAAACTTTTTATTAGTATTGATAGTGAGTAAATATTACATATTGTAAGAGTACAACTAGCCACATATACAACTTTAGATTGTCTAATTTAAGTAGTCCACCCGAAGGTTTTACACTAGCTACCATACCTGAAATCTATTTGAAGATTACCTATTTAAACTCTCTGGCCCTATGACACTTACCTGTATTCTATCTTTTTTTATCAAGGTTTACCTAACCCTGTGCTACTTCTTCAGAAAGACATCTGAGCTGATATTAGTCCACAAACTTTATGGTTCAGAGCCTAGACCCTATTTTAAGATGTCTCTTCACCAACTCTCTACTGTGATACTCAACTATGCTACACTATATCCCAATCTAGCTTGCATATACCCTCATTCGATGTTCGTATAAACCTAGTTCCTACTGTAGTCTTCTACCAAGTTAGTCATCCATGCCTCCAGATATCACACAAAGTAGATCCTCCCAAATCTGTTGCTTGGAATTGCCTGCTTTGCTACCAGATATCACATGAGACAGATTCTCCCAAATTCTGTTAGCTGCCAAGCCAAGTTGGTGTTGCCATATGACCTCATGTAACAGACTTACTCGCTCCTGTTTTGTCAATCTTTCTATACTCAAGACTTACTCATATCTATTTTACCGATCTTTTCGTATACAGATTTTCTTTTACAGATCAGATATTAACTGGTATAACTATCAAAATCTGTACTACTTCATCTAACTCAAGATTTCTACTATGCAAGTCCCTGCTCGTAGATCCTATCAAGATTTATTTATGTAATATTACACCTCACTGAACACTCTGTCATACTTCCAATACCCAATTGGTATTAGTACAATGTGATTTACAGGGTTACAACCCTAGAAACAGGCAAAGTTTACTATAAGTTGAATACAGATGTCTAGGTAATTATTCAATTCTGTATACAGTAGGATTTGAATCCTAGACCTCTTGCATAGCAGTTCAGCAACCTAACCACTACACTAAGATCACTAGACCTATATTATATTATTAAAATATACTAAAGCTATATGTAATACATGTAGACTGCAAAGAATCTAAGTTGCTTTTACTAAATATTGCTGATTAAATTTAATAACAGTACTAGCTATTGATTCTAATATATAAGCTATATTATTAGTAGGCCAATATTAATATTATGTTAGATTTAATAAATTTTTGTTAATAGTTTCTTCAATACTTAAAGATACTGTAGTTGCTGAACAACAATTCAAATCTTTCATATCAAGAATAGTAAGTATAGGTTCTTGTTAGGTTTTATTCTAATAAGCTATATATTCTAAAAATATTTTTTTTCTTTTTTAGTACTTTTGTTTGCTAAAATTCTATATAAGCTAAATTAATTTTAAAATTGAGGTATATTATTTTGTATAGAAATTTTAGCTACTTATTTTATCTATTGTAATAAACTACTTAGAGATAAATATGATTTAAAAGGCTAATTAGTAAAAAATATTATAATTTCTTTTGTATATTATATTATTAATAATATCAAAATTTGACTAATAGTACTTAATTTTATAGCCATAAAAACAAACTCAGATATATATTTACAATTATTTCATTTAATTTTTTTAACTATAGCTTTTTTAATATTTTTATCTAATATTTTTATTTTTTTGAATAGATGATCTAATTTTTGAAATATATTTACTTTTAGATTTTTTAGAATAGCTAAGTTTAATTATTAATAATTTTGTTTTATAAGTTAATCAATATATTTTTTTTTTAATCTTAAATTTTTAGCTTTTAATAATTTAATTTCTTAAAAATTAAAACTAGATTTTCTATAACTTACAAATAACAATTTAGTAGCTTTTTTTTGTAAATATGGTGATAAAATTTTTTTCTTATTTGATCTATCTTTATATGTTATATTCTTAAATAATTAAGAGCAAAAAATTAATTTTTTTTCAGATAAATAATTAAATTTTGTTACTAAGTCTCTTTTTATTTTTTCTTTTTTTGAAATAGCTGATTGTAAAGTTAATATTTAATTAACTGAATTTTTTAAATTTTTAATTAATTTTTCAATATTTAATAAATCAATTGAATAATTTTTAGATATAATTAATTAATGATTTCTCTATTGATAAATATAAAAATTACATATTGAATTTTAATTTCTGGAATATTATAAGATTTTAACTTTTTTGTATTATATATATTTTTACAATTTTTAAGAATTTTAGATAAGCAAAGAATTTTAATTTTTTTAAAAAAATAATTTTATTATAATTTATCATTATATTAAAAAAAATTAAATATTAATAATAAACAATTACACTATTTAAAATTAATTTAATAAAGTTTTATTATTATTATAATTTATTTAATATTGCATACAATTATATATCACTTTAATATATTACTTAGTATTACTTTAATATATCACTTTAATTATATTAATATATTACTTTAATCTATATTATATAATTAAAAACAAGAATTATAACTTTATATATTTAATTACTATATCTTTTTTTTTTTAACTTAGGTGACTTTACACTTGGTTTATTAGTGAATAATTTTATAAAGAAAATCATAATACAAAAATATAAAAAAAAGCTAATACTCTAAACTACTAATATATTCTATACTTATAATCTTAAATTCATTTAGTTTGCTTTATGCTATTCAGATATGATCTACTACAAAAAGTATTTATCTCTCTAAAAGATATTTTACCTAAGTAGAATAGTTCTTTCAGATTAATAATAGGTTCTTTTACATCTTATCAAAGTTCTAAATTGCTTCTAATTTAATCAAAACTAAATTACAAACTATTAATATCTAGTCTCAGATACAAATCACTAACTTTTTCTATAGATCACTTATACTAAAATCTCTCAAAAACATTTGTTTATAACTAAATATTTTACTAAGTAAACCACTCTTAGGCCACTAAGCAAAATTGTTTTATACAAAATTCTGCTTTAGTAGGGTCTGGTTTTATTTCTTTTGAACTCAAATTTATAGAGATATTTACTTGAATAATTAATATAACACTTTTATTATTATCTCTGAATTTTACTAAGATAATAACTCTTAGTCACTAAAAGAGTTTTGTTCAGCTCACTCTTAGCTTTACACACATACAAATTTTATAAAAAACTAATTGAAACTTATCAAATTATTAAAGGAAAATATATTCAAGGTTTTTTCTAAAAATTTAGAAAAATAAAAATTCTTTTCTTTTTTTCCTCCTCAAACCCAAAACTTAATAATATAACAAATCAACTAAAATTTATTAGTTCACCCAAAAATAGCACTAATTATTAAAATTTCCTTTTTAAATTCTTATTAATTAAACACAAATTAATTACATATATATTTGTACTAATTTTTTTATTTTTTTTTTATTTTTTTTTTTATTTTTCAACAAGCTGTCTGCAGATTTTTATTAAATATTAATTTCAAGTTACATTTGTTAGTGAGAATACAATTAGCTACATGTACAACTTTAGTCATTGTCTATTTACAGGTTCCGCCATATAGATTACCTACTAATTGCTATATCTAGTATCTGCCTGTAGATACTCTATTTAAACTCTCTGGCATCATAGTGAAACTCTATTTTTAACCTAATATTTGTATATCTATGTTAATCTTGTGCTGTCTCATGAGGACCACTCAGACTAACTTGCATCTCAAATTGTCTTCATAGGACTGAGCCTTATCACAAGGTACCCTTCTGTGTTCTATTCTGGTGAGGGCTTGTGGATGACCCCAACTATGCTGTGCTATATCCCAATTAAGCTAGTATATACCCTTATCAGTATTTGTACGAACCTAGTTCCTTCTGTAGCTCTCTACCAAA